AGCAAGGTGCTGGGGCACAGGAAATCAAGTTCTGTCACTTGCCCTCTAAAAGCCCATAATCCAGTGGGTGAACTGCCCCAGCAACAGCAGCCGAGATCCAAGGAGCAGAGCTCCCGGAACAGTGCCAAGGTTGGTGACACCGAATGTCGTGGACTCACAGGAAGACTCCATGCTCCCACTGGGAGAGCTGCCCAGACTTCTGGAGGAGCAGGTTTGGGTACCGGACCTGCCTGGATCTGGCTGAGTTGGGCACATGCAGGCAGGAGAGACAGGCAAGGAGTCCAGGCCACGGGGAGGCAGGAAAGCACCCAAGATAGGTTCAACTGAATAACGCCTGGAACAGGTCACTGCACAAGCGCTGGGCCCTGTGCATCTGACCTCCACAGCCCGAGCATGGTGCTGGCCACACAGGGCACACCACCGGACTTACTGGAAACAGATCTTATGGAGGGTGAGCCTTATTCCATTCAGTGGTCCTCTTTAAGAAAAGCAGTGCAAAGTTACTAATATAAACATGGGTGTGAAAGCAAAGGCTTCTCTATAACAAGGCTATGTTTAACAGCCCTGGGCCCTGAGCTCCCATCCTGTAGCTTCACTATCAGTTCCCCTCTGATTAGAACACACATGTTCCTTAACTCACAGGGTTTCCAGACAGACCCATCAGAAGTTGAAAATATCCAAAGTCCAAAATGCATTGAATACACCTCGCCTACCAGACAACAGAGCTCAGCATTGCCTACTTCAAAGGTGCTTGGAACACAGCTTAGCCTGCAGTTGGGCAAGGCCTATTTTATAATAAATTATTGATAGCTCATGTGAAAAACAGAATGGCTCACTGATGCTGCCCAGCATCGCAAAAGATCCCCCCTCCCCAGTTTGCCAGGGAATGTATATGGTTGCCAGAGAGAAAGAGAGAGAGGGAGAATGCCCCACCCAATGGGGCCTGGACATGCAGCCGACCTTTTCAGAAGGGATTCCATTCTGTCAGGACACTGTGTTTTTTAAGCCCACAGGCCTGGGATTTGAACCATGGTCAACCTTGCGGGATCCAACTCCTTTAACCACGAGGCTGCAAGGCTGGCCCCGTGAACAAATATCTTACTGCATTTCACTA